GCCAGCAGAGTCCTGGGTTAACCCTGGGCTCTGTCTGCTTGCCCAATCGAGCACTGATGTCCTTTAATAACATTTGTCTCTGCATACCCACACCCCCCATTCCTGCTCCACCCAGATTGCAACACTTTCATGCCTTTTGGTTCATGAGATTCCGAACTCTGTAAGGATTCATTTCATCATCTCTTCTATCATCTCTATAATCATTTATGCACACAAGGCTAATCCAGAAGGGAGAATTAATGGTGTGAAGCATTAAGTCAGAAAGGTATTGGGAACTTGGATGGGAGATGAGAGTAAAACTATTCTTAGAATATGAAGTATTGAAAATAAAAAGAGCTTGCAAACATCTTGAAGCTATGAGGGTGGGAGTTCCCAACTCTTTCTGACAAGTGGGATTTGTAAATAAAAAGCACTCCCATGCTCTTTAGTCTCAGCCTAATATGGTTAAAATGTCACTGCTACTGTCTACCTAGTGTAGAGGTCACAACAGGGGACACAGGTGTTGTCACTTGTAACAGCAATAGCCTGAATGCTGTGACCCCTTAATACAGTTCGTTGTGTTGTGGTGACCCCCAACCATAAGATTATATTCATTGCTACTTCATAACTGTAATTTTGCTAGTGTTATGAATTGTAATGTAAATATCTGATATGCAGGATGGCCTTAGGTAACCTCTGTGAATGGGTCACAACCAAAGCTTGAGAACCATGGTTGCTCTTGGGTATAGCATTTGGAGAAATGGTTCTTTTAACTTCTCATCTTAGTTCTTGGGGGATCTGGCCAAGGTGAGGCCTAATCATGGCAGGGATTGAGAAAAATAATTTTAAAATAGAGCAGGGGATAAGGGTTGGAATTCAGACTCCATGCTGATTACTTGTGATGGAGGAGGGGACTGAAGAGAAGTCAGAGCAAAATGAGAAGTCCCCATCCATTGCCAAGACAGTAACTAAGGATAGTCAGGAGAATGGACTGCGCACAGGAGGGAGATAAAAGCTTTCCTTTTAAAAATTAATTTATTTAAGTACTTCAACACACCTTCCCACAAACATCATACCCACATGTTAGGAAGGAAATTTCTTAATTTACCTGTTTATTTATTCATTCTTTATTTTTAAACAGAGTTCAAGCTTGCCCTGAACTTGACACATGACCAAAGAAAGCCTTAAACTTCTGATTGTCTCCTCCCAGCTTCCAACTGCTAGGATCCCAAGCATGTGTCACCATGCCTGGCTGCAAGGAAACTGATTTACTGTTCCTCAGTTAGAATATTTTCTCCCCATTTATTTATTTGTTGCAAACTTTGTATCCCTGAGATTATCAAAACAATGAAGTAGTTCATTAGTTATTTAAATTATTCAGCTTACTTTTGTCTTTTGAGAAATATGAGTTTCATTAACTTTCATAACATTCAAAATGTTTGTTTTTTCCTAAGGATGCAGCATTCATAATGGGAATAGATCAAAACCAATGACAGCCCCTGAGGGAAATGGCTAGCTTAAGAGCTACAATGATGATGAAGTCATTGAAAATTCATTCATTTGGTCAACGTGGACGCAGCGCACGGATTGCTTAGGCCCCTTAAAGACAATACATTGACACACTTGTCCAACTTTTGACACTGCGGCTTTGCACTGTCTTCTACAAAGTTCACGCTCAATTAAGCTGCACAATCAAGCTTCCCGCCACCAAATCTTGTAACATCTTAAGTGAATTTATGATTTTGTGTTGTGCCACATTCATAGTTATGCTTGGCTACACATGGGACATGTTTGCCATGACTTTGTCATTCATAAAAACTACCCCTTTTTCCTCCTGGTCACCACAATTTTTTATTTCAGTTTCTTGAGAAGCAAACAAAGCTGGCAGAAACGCTCTGCTTTCCTTGAACCTACATCCTAGAGGTGGGAAAGATAAACAGATCATTGAGGAAATACACTGGTACTGTGGTGAGATTGGAAAGAACAAGGAGGCTGAGGTGGTACTCAGAACTGGGAGGGAAGGCAACACTTAAATGAGGTAAGAGATGCCACGTGGATATCGACGTAAACCTCGAATTGCAAGGGCTATTCACTGAGGTGGCCCGCTGTTAAGTCCAACATTCTTCACCCCTTGTTCAAAGACATCAAGAAATCTTCTGACTTATAAATGAGTCCCTTTTGTCTCCCTAGACATCATGCCAACAGCTAGGATCAAGTCTTCGGAGTCACACTGGGTAGCTCTGAGCCTTCTAGACAAAGAAAGGGTCTCTGCTACAGGACCTACAGTACCTGGTTACCCCTGCTAACAAGAGCTAAAAGAGCACCAGTGATTGGATCCCAAGGTGCTCTGGGCCACTTGGGAATGAGAGTGTTGCAACAGGGATGGAGGGAAAGCTGGAGCTGCTGTGGTGAAGGCGAGGAAGCCAGAGGCTCACAGAAGTGAGAGCGTGAAAACGGACACCACGCATAGCAGAGCAGCCTGTTCAGTGAAACACTGAGAACGGCGCTGGTGGAAGACAGTGGTCTTGCTTAAGGAACGGAGACGCAATTCTTGGCATGACCACCCAAGAGGCCTGGTGTGAAGAGACTGTAGTAACGAACCAGGGAACCTGGCTGGCATAGAGGTTCTACAAGGGACAAGGAATATGATCCTCCCAGCATGGATGAGTAGCTTATAAGAACAGTGCTTGAGCAGGACCACAAAAATCTACCGTGGGGGAGTAGTCGGCAGCCATCCCAATACAAATGCACTGTGGCAAATCATTGTGGTGGATTTCCCCAGGGGTTTTGTAGGTGACTACATTGTGGGGAAAGGTAGATATGTAAATATTTCAAGCATCTCTCCATTTCAGTCTCCCAAATAGCACTTACTGAGGGAATACGCCAGTGTGCTCAGCCCATTTAAACATCTTGAGAACTGTTTTACATAGGGTCTGGGGTTAACATTTATTACCAATGCCCAAACTATCATGATGGGCCCTTAGTAGCACAGGGGTGTGGAAACCCGGTCATAGGATGTCTTGACCCAGAGGTAGCTCACAGTAAGTGTGCTGTGTCCATAGACTCAGTGGTCATTTCCTGGGTCTTTAAGTGTATCATCGCAAGGGAACTATTAGAAGTTAGCAGAACACTATATTAGTTATTTGGAATGAACAGACAGAACTAATCATGAAGAAAGACAGCTGATGTTTTTGCAAGTCCCTCTACCCCTTCTCAGTAAATAAATAGTGTGATGACTTAGAAAATGGAAAAAGATGAGTTGAAAAGGAAACAGTGCGATGCAGAAGAGGAGTCCAGGATAATTTATTAAATATAGAAATCACTTACAGGGGAAGCTGTGAAGTGCTCTGTTCTCGGAAGCAAGGCCAGCATCCAAGGGAGGTTTTACTTTCTTTCTCTCCTATGTATCTCTTGCCTTTCCCACATCCTCTGCCCACGCCCCAAATGGGCGTGGTCAGTATCTCAGGTACGTGAGTGCTCCCCTACAATGAGTGTCTCAGTTACTTTTTATTGCTGTGAAAAGACACCATGACAAGTCGTCTTACAAAAGAAACGTTTGATTTGGGCATTCACAATTCCAAAGGGAAGAGCCCATCATGGGTGGGAGCAGGAGGCAGGTAGGCATGGCATTGGAGCAACAGCTGAGAGATGACATCCAGAAACATGAGGCAAGCAGAGATAGATAGATAGATAGATAGATAGATAGATAGTTTGTTTCAAATAAGGCCACTCCTCCTAATCTTTCCCAGTTCCACCCAGGTGGGTACCAAGTATATATGAGCCCATGGGGGGCATTTTTATTCAAACCACGACAACAAGGAGAGTCAGAGATAAGGAAGTCTCAGGAAAAGTCATGTGGTTGGACATGTGGGAGTGTACTCAAATCATGGGAGGCTTAGTTTGCCATGGTAAGTCCCATCCAAGAGCATCTGCCACTGAAGGCTCACTAAATAACAAGACGAAATGACCTGATCCGCCAACAACAGCAGACTCTGTCATCATCCTCCCCAATACTGGTGTCCAGCCATGGAGGGGCCACAAGAGCCAAGCAATACAGCTGCCCATAAGTAAAACCGTGCCAGTTATTGCCACAGGCAAGCCAGCAGAACAGAGCCATTACTGCCTTCCAAGTTTGGCACCATCTGTCCAGCACATCCACTTGCTGACAAGCTGACTACATCAAACTACTTCCGCCTAGGAAGAAGGACCTCATCTTGACTGAAAAAAGAATGTGCACCCCAAGCATAACATTTCTTGCCAAGTCTCAACCAGACCGGTATTACAGCTCCTGCAGAGAAATCCAATTGCCATAGGATTTCAATTAGACGAGGGTCCCACAGTAGAGCTAAAGAGTTGCAGCACCAGGTGCAGGGCCATGGTACTCACTGGTCCAACCTGATGAAGCTGTGCAGACAACTGTTCAAAGGTGCAGTCAAGACGCTAGCTCAGAGATGGCCTGCACGACTGGAACACCATTCTCCAACTGCTATGCACCTCACAAGCCTATAGCCCATGTACCGTGATGCGCTCCAATGTAGCCTGTGACAGAGCTCCAGGAAACAGGAAGTGGAGGTAGAAACAGACACAGTGATGAAATTCCTGCTTGATAAATTGGAAAATCCCAACCCTGAAACTTTAGGCTCTGTGGTTTGGAGGTCTTGGTCTCCAGAGCAATGTCTCTTCCATTGAGCATCACAGAGAGACTCTCGTTAAGTTTTAAATCATGGCTGCCACTCAGTTACATCAAGACCCCCATGCAGTGAGACCAGAAGACATGGTAAAGGCCATCATCTTGGATGGTAAGTTTATTCCCATGGACAAACTAACCCAAATCCCACAAATGTCACAATGAAGGAATAATTTTAGTGTCCAGCTGTCACACCAGTGTATTCCTTTACATTTTCCCTGCCCAGTTATTTAGACAGTAAACAAACAAACATAGACCCCAGGACAGATTTTAGCCATGGAGGCAGGAACTTACAAATGGCAGTAAAAACAACAACAACAACAAAAACCAATGTGTCTAAGTCGATGCTCAGGGCCAGCTGTTGAAGAGGAGCTGTCATTTTTCCAGCCATCTGCCTTTTGTGAATTTATCAAAGAATTGAGCCCAAGCAGAATTCTGGAAAATGCTTCTTAGCTGAAATGAAAACATGTTAAATTCAAGCGGTGTAAGGCATGGGTTATAGTAAATACTTAGATGCCCAAGCCTGGCCTTCTTCTCAAGACAAAAGGCATTCGTTAACTCTTTAGCTATCAGATATGTTGGCTGTCAAAACCCGCCATTGAACTTCCTTGGGGAAAGCCCCCATTAACAGGAAATTGCCTTGCCAAGGTTGTCTTCGTCTCTGCAAGACTAGCCAGTATCCGATGACTAGTGAGTGATGGGGAGAGATAAGCACCTACTCCCTTTGAGTTAATCCACGATAACTCTGAAGAGCCAGCCAAGCCTCGGAGCCCTGTGCGATCAGCTGCTATCTCACTAGTAACAGCATCTCGGCTTAATTTCGCCTTTCCTCACCAGTGCTTTCCTTACTCCGTCGCTTAATGTTGTTCAAGAACATTCCCCGGGAAATCTGCAGCCATACAAACCTCCATTCTGAGTCTTTTCCCAGAAAGTGAGAACTAAGACACCACAGCGTCTCGATTCCGGAAGAAGGTGAAGCAGAAGCAACAGCTTCCACTTACACCCTTGACTGTGCCTTAAGTCTTTTCTCCATCAAATCACACCACCCTGTCATTGTGCATGACATCATTCAAAAATGTAGTTACCTACCCCATCCACAGAGGATACATGCCAAGACCTCCAGGAACTCTTGAACCCTGGAGAGTGCCAAACCCTACGTATCATCACACTCAGTTTGCTCAGCAAGACAATTCCTGAGTGAATAACAGGTGAGTAATATATACAGTGTAGATATGCGGGACAAAAATGGCATGCCATGTTCTAGACAGGAAGGACCACGATTTCCTAACTGCGCAGGCATTGCTGTCTAAAGAATTGCCTGGGACTGTAGCTCAGTTGACAGAGTGCTAGCCTAGCATGCTCACAGCGCTGCACCAAACTGGGCATGGTGGAATGTCCCTGTAATCCCAGCACTCAGAAGGTAAAGACAGGAGGACCGGAAGTTCAATGTCATCCTCAGCGTGGCAGCAATTTTGAGGTCAGCTTGGGTAACATGAGACCCCCTTCCTCCAGAAGGAAAATCACAAACTAATTAACAGTGGTTAACTCAAACTATAGACATTTAAACCATTGCTGGAGAGGGTACCGTAAAAATAAAAAAAACAACAGGGACACCCCTCTCTACATTATGTGTCTCCAGTCTTACCATAGTTCCACAGAGGCAAGATCTTGGTGGCAATGCACAGGGGCTGACTTCCCTGACTGTCTCAGATTGTCCTATCCTAGCTACACGCTCCTGTATACATGGAGACCTTTCCAGGAAACAGAGTAACTTTGCTCTCACCATCGCTTCTTGGATTGTGGAGCAAATATTTTTCACACACACCCAATTTGAAAGCATGCCAAACCAGTGGATAGTTTTTCACAACTCTATTCCCAGTAGTGGAGTGGAAACAGTTAATATTATTGTTTGAAATATAGTGAAGCCAGGTTTTCTTGGTTATTTTCATTCGTGTAAGCCAAGAAGAGCAAGCAGTTCCTTTTTTAGAGGCTTTCAGAACAATTGGGAGATATTTTGTTTGTTTTGGGTGTTTTAAAAGTCTCAACTGACTCATTTGGTGGGACAAATGCATAAGTCAGCATGTGTCCTGACCAGTGTCATCTATGTATAGGAGGGAAAAAACCCCATAGCCTTTTCAAATGAGGTAGTCAGTGGTCACATGTTTTTGTTTCAATTTCTTCCTATTTAAAAAAAAATGTATTGAGGGCTGGTGAGATGATTCAGCTGGTAAAGGCATTCTTGCTAGGCAAGCCTGGTGACTTGACTACAAACCCCGGAACTCATGAAAAGGCAGAAGGAGAGAACCAGCTTCACAAAGTTCTTCTCTCGCTTCCAACTGGGCACTGTGCACAGAGACATGCAACACCCCATCCCGGAGAATAATTATAACCATAAACATAACTGTTTTTTGAAGACTATAAAAAGACGTATTGACCTATTCCCAGTCATGAAAGCTAAAGAGATTTGCCCCGATGGGATGACTGATCACTACCCATCTGTTGTTCTTCCAGGATAACTTGTTCATGAGAAAGAGACACCCACTTCAGTAAGTTCTGTGAAAGGGAGCTCCTACTAGCAGGAACGTCTCACAAGGCTTGGAATGTGCATATAGGAAATGCACATTCAATTGTCACTCAATGCTTGATCACCCCTCCTCTTCCTCTTTCTTTCCCAAGCTGTGCCAACCATCCTTCATCTCCTTCAATTCCTGCCCTTTATCTCTGGCTTTTCTTTTTCTTTTGCTTGTGCATACTATGTTGTTACTCCACCATCTAGCCACAGGCCCAATCCCCAAGTTGTATTTTGGGTTTTCTATCTGAGTATTTGTCAGCATTTGGTCTGACCAATGAGTTCTATCCATAGGAGGACACTCTAGATAGAGGAGTCCTGGTGAACTTTATTACGTCCTTGAGCTATCTGTCATTACGAGTCACCCAGCCTTGCTCTGCAGCAAGGCTTACAGGAAGGTAACTAGGAGAATGAGGGTGTCCCCAAATGTGTTTGTAACATTTGAACCTCTTAACAAATTCTATCCAGTTCCCTCCAGAAGGTGATGATGTAAGAGCAAAGTATCTATCCCCATTACCTCTGTATATCCTGGTTGGTTTTATACGGTGTTTCCCAACAGATGGAGACTAATTATCCAAACAGTCAGGTGGGTGGTGCTTATTTCTGAAAGAAAAGTGAGGAAGAGATCATTGTTGCAGTAGTTTTCAAAATGTTAGTAAGGCATCACTTATTTTTTTTACCCAAAATGTACCCATTTAAATTATGTAGGTGGGCATGGAGGCTCACACCTGTGATGCCAGCACTCGGGAAGCTGAGACGAGCGGTCTGAGACCAGTTTGGTTTGCAGCTTAGTGAGTTCCAGGCTAGCCAGGACCATAAAGTGAGACAGGAAAGTGGAGAGGAGGACAGAGAAAGGGAGGTGGTGACGCACCATGACCAAAGGCAAGTCGGAGGGAAAGGGTTTATTTGGCTTATGCCTCCCCATCACAGTCCATCATCACGGAAGTCGGGGCAGGAACTCAAGCAGGGCGGGAACCTGGAGGCAGGAGCTGATGCAGAGGAGGGTTGTTTACTGGCTTTCTCAGCCTGGCTTGCTCAACCTGCTTTCTTACAGAGCCCAGAACCACCAGGCCAGGGATGGCTCCACCCACCATGGGCTGGGCCCTCCCCCATCAATCACTAATTAAGAAAATACCCTACAGGTTTGCCTACAAAGCTGATCTTATGGAGGCATTTCCTCAATTGAGGCTCCCTCCTCTCAAATGACTTCAGCTTGTGTCAAGTTGATATAAAACCAACCAGCATAGGAGGGGAGGGGGTGTAGGGGAGGAGAGGAGGAATGAGAAGGGGAGAATAGCAGAAAAGAGAATGAAAAAGAAGAAATTCACTGAAGAAGAATTTGTTGAATTCTCCTTCCAGCATGTAGGGCCTGGGGATCAAGGTCAGCTTGTCGGGTTTGACAAGCCTATACCCACTGAGCCATCTCACTGGCCCTGACTGTACACATTTCTTACTCCTACTCATGGACCTGACCCACTATTTATGACAATCGCTTGCTTGATGTCCATTTTGCCTCCTTTGATGCTGATGAGAATTTGTGAAAATGTTCTCTTCTGTCTTTTCTTCCTTTTAAATGAATGGTTAAATTTATTATGATAATAGTGTGCCGAAAAACATGGCAGAGACTGAACTATCACTCCATTTCAAATAAAATAGTATTTTGGCTGGCTGCAAGGCTCATTTGGCCATCATCCCTTGGTCAAAACTCCCTGAGGTTTGTTTATCTGGTTTATTGGGTTCTTTCTTTTAAGCGTATCAGCAATTTTTTTGCTCAGCTTCAAGCTATTCTCATCTCGGCGTGTAGGAAGTTAAGACAAAGCAGAGGCTTCTGACTCAAGTCCAGCAAGAGCAAGAATATAATTAGTGAGGAAGTCAAGTGACTGACATTACCCTACCCCAAAGACCAAAGATCATGGTGATGAGCTCAAACTCAAATATGCATCAGAGCTGCCGGTCCAGGTGACCAAAGTGACAAACTTAGCCACACTGGGCTTCAGATACTACTGTACATGCCCTGCCCATGAAGGCGAAATTAGGACCACCTGGAATTTTGGATTTTTAGAAGCAGAACTTCTTAAGATTTTTTTTGAGACAGGGTCTAGAGTATCCAAAACTAGCCTTGAACATCTTTTGTAGATAAGGATAGCTTTGAACTCCTGATCCTGCTCTGCCAACCTCCCAAGTGCTAAGATTACAAGTGTGAGCTACTAGACCTGTTTTATGCAGTGTTGGGGTTGGCACCTAGGCTTTTGTGAATGTTAGGCATGCAGTCTACCAAATGAGCTACATCACCAGCCCCCATAAGATTTTTAACAAAGAGGGGCTTTTTTTTTTTAAGGCAGTGGCCTTTCTAGATGGCATGCTGATTCCATTGTCCGTGACATACTATGCGACTTCTGTGGAATCCTGGTTTGGAATTGATCTCACATACAGTTTGGGAAATACATCAGAAAATCTTTCTCTTCAATTCTGATCACATATGAATGAGATTAAAAAGTCAGATTTCTCAATTTATTTACAAGGCTGGGCTCCAGCTGCCTTCTGCATTTTCTAAATAGCAGATGCTCTCAGAAAACCAAAGTTTGCCACCCATAAATCCTTCATAACCACAGGCCTTGGTCTAAGACAGGAATTCCAATAAGGGAATTCCACAAGGGATTAGGATCAGGGCACGATCATAGGAATAAGACAGCATTCCAGGTCAAGATCTGGGTGAGGTGTTTCATCTGTACGATCACACAGCTTAAAAATAATCCCAGCATTCAGTTCTCGGCATGAACTGAATGCTGCCATTGTGTCTCCAAAGCTTCTTGGGTCTAGACTGCTCTAGGCCAATGCCAGTCATTAGAGAATAAGTTTCATTTTCAGGAGGTGACCTAAAAAGCTACATTAGAAGGATGCCATCTGAGTTATTGCAATCAGAAATTTTATGGCATGAAGAACACTGTGTGTCTGTTATCCCAGCACCTAGAAGGCTCAAATAAGAGGGCTGCCTAGGCTATGTAGCTGTAGTAGACCAGCCTAGGGTAAAGGGAGACCTTGTCCCAAAAGAAATGGAACAAAAGAACAGCAGGGGAGTACATTTGCATCTAGAAAAATTTAACTGCCTAGATAACCCCCCCATGCAGACTCTAGAAGGTGGCTTACACTGGAATACACCACTGTTGTTGCCTGCTCCCTCTCCTAATAATTGTTATGAAATAAAATTGAAACTTCAAGCAGTGACAGTTGATATGTGGTTGCTAATAGCAGCAGCAACAACAACAACGATCTCACACAGGTTATATACTTTTGAATAAAAGGTAAAAATAGCTCAGATGGGTCACTGACAGTCCCTTTGGCTTTTGCAAACACTTGTTCAGACACCAGGACTGTGCCACACTTGAAAACATGCTTTCTGGCCACACTCCCTAGGTTGCAAGCAATTCATCTAAGTTACTTTAAGCATTGGGGTCTTCCTGTGACTACAAGGACAACCCCCCAGTCCCCCCACCCCCTGCCCCAGACTCATCTCTCCATCTCCAAGTCTAGTCTACATGCTGAAGGTCACCTAACTTTAGCAGTGTCCTTGTCTGGGAAATGCAGTTTTGTTCATGAGACGACAGTATTTCCACAGGCAAAATTTGAAAGACTTTGAACTTCTGATCCTCCTGTCTTTACTTCACAGACACTGGGATTACAGATGTGTGCCATGATGCCTAGTATTGGCGTGCTGGGGATGAAACACAGGGTTTCTTGCATGCTGGGCAAGCAAGCTATCAACATAGCTTCATCCCCCGGGTCTCAGCAGATCTTGTAACTGCATGATAAAATTATGAAGAGGCTCCAGGCACTGGCTTATGCGTTTATTCATTAGCCAACACATAATGCGTATTGTACATAGGCATTGCATTTGGCTTTGGAAAAATAGAAAGATGAAGAATCTGATCTCAACCCTTGAAGAAATGAAGGTCTCTTGGCAAACATGGATAAGTCTAAGCAGGATGTGATCAACATGTTAGTGAGAACACACAGTATATGCTCAAGACTGAGAGCTCAGAGCTGAAGAGAGGGCTCGCCAGTTAAGAGCACTAGCTCCTCTTCCTGAGGACCCAAGTGTAGTTCCCATAACCCATAGCAATAACTCGTAACTGCCTATAGCTCCGGTTCCGTATCCAACACCCTCTTCTGGCCTCTGTGAGCTCCTGCATGCACGCTGTACACATGAACGCATGCAGGCACACACGTGTGTACATAAAGACAGCACAAGTACATCTTAAACAACAACGGCTGAGCACCATCTGCGATTCTTGTCTGCGCCCTTTGGACTAGGCTGAAAAGCCCGATGTGGAGCGATGTGTTGTGCTGTCCCTGGCTTGATCCGGTACATTTTCAGTTTCTTCCTGCCCGTAGTCATCTCAGGGCTGTCTGCAGACAAACCTTCTTTTGCCGGAGAATGTTGCGCAACACTAGACCTTCATGGCTGTTTGACCACCGAGCAAATTCTTCTTGATGGCTTTGGAAGAAGAACGGCTACTGTGGCGAAGCGAAGCCAAGGCAGCACTCGGGAAGCAAGACGTTTTGTGCGAGCATAGCATAAATCAACTCTGCAAACGGGGGCTGTGCGGCCCCCTCTTCTGAAGCTCTCTTGAGCCTCTGAATTCTGCTGCCAAGTCCTTGCTTCCAGACCTCAGGAACATGGCTTCAACAGGTCTGTCGATTCCAAACCCACGCTCCTCATTGCTTTCATCCTGTGGTTTCTTGGCCTGTTTCAAGAATGCAATGCAAAATTATGATTTCATGGAATATTATGCAATTCTAATAGAAGGCCAGTAAAATTGTCAATTTTCATCCATTACCAAGTCATGTAGGTGACCAACCAATGGTTGCAGTTTGGGTAACTCATTCTGTGTTTTTTTTTTATGCTTGTTTTGTGTGTGTGTGTGTGTGTGTATGTGTGTGTGTGTGTGTGTTGTTTTGAGGTGTTCTGTTTGGCTTTATTTTTTGAGAAAGAGCGTGTCATGATGTGTCTCAAATTTAGCACGCAGCTGAAGATAACCTTGAGTCTTTGGAATTCCTGCCTTCACCTCCTCAATGCTAGGATAATAGACACAAGCATCCTTATGCTGAGGATCAAACCCAGGCCTGTAGACATGCACCTGAAGTTTCAGGCCACATTCTATCATTTTAATATCTGTCTCTTCTACAAGGATCGTGTTGAAATGCAGTTCCTATGTGGTGGTATGAAGCATGGCCTTTGAAAGGCCACTGCATCATGAGTTCTCTGCTCACAGGGGTCAGGATGGTCAAAGTGAGTGCTCCCCTGATGTCTTGTCCCTTCTTCACATGGAGTCATGACGTTCCCTCCCCTCAGAGGACACAGCAACCATCCTGGAAACAGTGCAAACCTCACTGGACACACATCCTGATAAACACTTTGACCTGGTACTTGCCAGTCCCCAGAGCTATGAGAAGTGAATTTTTGCCCTTTATAAATTACATGGTGTCATGTATTTTCTTATAGCAGCACAAAATTGCCTAAGACAGCCCACAAAAGTAAAAATAAATGGAATGATTACAAAGCGAACATGGGCTTCTTCATGACCTTTGGGAGATCTTATTCTTGGGACAGAATTGAAAACAGAGAGATGACTGAGAAGTGAGACTCACTCTTTCATTCCTGGGGTCTCTTAAATGAATGTCACCCCCACCCCCAAGATGACAGTGGCCACACTGGGCTCAAGGCTCTATTTGCTGTTGCCCTTAACTCACTATGATAATTAATATGGACTATTTTAACTTCTTTCTATCTTAGATAACCACCTATGAAAATGAGTTTTCAAGTACTCATATGGCAGATGATAGGAATACAGAAAAATAAGTTTTTATTTTATTGAAATACAATATTATTTAGAAAATAAAACGATGGATCAGATCATAGACT